AATCTTTGTGGCTCTTGGAGCTCTCTGTTTATCCTCTGCGCTTTGGTTTGGTTTCTATCCCATATTCATAGTTGCCTAATAGTTTTCATTGGAAATGAATGTTAATTATATTTTTCTATATCAAGATGATACATATAGTTTTCCTTTAAAAATTAACTTGTGTTGAATCATAGTTACCTATTTTCTAATGTAAAACTACTCTTTCATTCTTAGGATAAACTGGACCTAGTTTTTGTGATTTTTAAAAATGTTTTTATAAATTCTTAAATTTGTTTTGCTAATATTTTGTTAGGATTTTTGTGTCTTTTATAGGACTGTTAATTTTGCTTTACATAGTTGAGGCTATTTTATTTAGTTGTATAAGTATTTTTTAATATAATCCTACTGAATTGGATTTTATATCATACAACATTTTTGAAGAATTGTTTAAAGCAGTAAGAGATTTAAAAGAAATGAAGTAAATCAGTAATTAAAGAAATTACAATATATTCACGCCAAATTCATGTGGAACTCTAAAAAATGATGGAAGTTCATCACGTACAAATGTGGGATACTCTATATATATATATATTGTTAAGTGAAAAAAAAAGCATTGGTGACTGGAAAATTATTTTTTCTAATCTTCCTTTGTAAACAGATAAGAATATTAGATAAAATGTAGTTAAAATAATATTTCATTGAAAGTATGGATAATCTGTCAGGAAAGATAAACTATTCAGGCCAAAGATTTAGTGAAGACCAGAGTCCTCAAGGAGTAAACTGATTGGTTGAAGGAAGATTCTGCCTGAAGATATTGATCTCAGGATTTTTTGTTTTTTGGGGGGTTTTTTTGTTCGCCTCCTAGGGAATGGGGAGTCAAATATCAAAGCCCTGGCAATGGGAAGGTCTAGTAAGAGAACTTCTCCCTAAATGGTTAGATGGCAAAGAATTAACTGGTCAGTCAAGGGTGAGTGTACTGCCTCCCAACATTTCCAGGGAGACTGACAAAATTTTTTGCCCTGTTTAAACCTTGAAACTGAGCAGAAGGATGAAAAGGACACCTCAGAAATTTAATCATCACCCAGCTCTACCTGTGACTTGCAGCCTCAACTCACTGTCCTTGGGTCCTCTAAAAAATATCTCATGTACACATACATGCTGAGGATGACTTACTCCAAAGTTTTCTAAACAGCCTCATCCTTTCTAAAATTCTCCAAAGGTAAAGGGAAGTGAATGGACCTGGAAAGCTAAAGGAAACACTGGGAAAATCCTTAGAGGAGGATAACAAAAACCTCTAGAGGGTAAAGGGGAAGCAATCCTCATCATGTATGGAGGAGGACTTGCCATAGTTAGTTAGGGGTGCCCTTTCGAGTTTTGTTCATTTTTTTCTTTCCACATTGTTCCAGGAAGAACAGGGATTACTTCTAAATAAGTCTTGAGTTAAAAAAAATCATAAAGGGTGTTCTAAAATGCTTGGGACTTAGTAACAGTAAAATATTGCATGTCAAACTCATGGAAAGTTAGAGCAAAATGTACATCCCTAAACATATTTATCAGAAGAGAGAACTCAAAGACTTGAAACAAAGACAAAGGGACAAACCCAAAGAATCTAAAAGGAAGGAAATGTTAAGCATAAGGATAGAAATTAATTGCATTATGTTTATGTATATAACTATTCATATCTTTTATATGTTTATATGTTTTATATGTTCATAACGTTGAAATACTCATAAAATTTGAATGCAGATGAAAGACAATATAAAAATATCAAAGTAATTAAGTATCAAAATTGATACAAGAAGAAATATATAATTTAGCAGACCATTAACCTTTATACAAATTGAAAAAGTATACAATCTGTTGCCCACCCCTTCTTCTGGAATTTTGTTTCCCATGACATGGATATAACTCCAACCTGAAGGCAGTAATTCCTTACTGTCTTTCCCCTGCCCTGCTCAAGATAAACAATCTAAAAAAAAAGTTATGTAGATATCCAACTGTTGCTGGCCAAGGGTGCGAATGACTCAAGAACATTTGTCCTGCCTCACTTCCATCCATGGATCTCTTTCTCTTTGAAATAGAACCAAAATGATGCACCTCTTTCTGATAGGCTCCACCAAGAGATAAACAGGCAAGTGTATAACAATCAAAATAACAAAGTACGAACAACCAACATACATGGATTCTTTTCATTTAGGGTTTTCCTAATGGAAAGCCACAGCAAGACTCATTTTTTTTCATCTGCTTTCCTGAACACTTCTAAGAATCCATTCATGATTTAATGAAAAAAAAAATTCTCTCACATGGAATCTATGGTGTCGTATTTCAGAAGGAGAAAGCCTGTGTGATGAGATAGGGAATAATTCCTACCTTTCCTGGGAGGGAGCTGGTTATCCATTTGCCTAAGTGTGTTCTGGTTGCTTCTTTTCTTGCTGAAAGGTTCGTTTTCTACCCACTACAAGTGCAAAACACACTGATGTCAGCATAACACAGGGAGGAACTGACCAAAATCCACCTAGTATTCCTGTCTGATTTAAAACATCCAGCAGAGGGAAACTTGCTTTGTTACACGAGTGCCCATTCAACTCTTAACATGCTCTTGCTTTGACATTTCACTTTTATGATATTTTTGTTGATTAAAAATATACAGGAAACCTGAAAACAATAGAAAGTAAAAAAAAAAATCCTGCCAAATCATAATTTTATATCCAGTGAAGATAGCCCTCAAAAGTGAAAGAGAAATAAAGACTTTCACAAAACCTGAGGGAATTCATTGCCAGGAAACCTACCCTGCAGGGAGTGTGAAGAGAAGTTTTTCAGACAGGAGATTACTAAAGGTCAGAAACTTGGATGTACAAAAAAAAAAAAAAGGAAAAACATCAGAAAAGGAATTAAAGGTAAAATAAATTCTTTTACTTTTCTTATATCTTCAGAGCTAAAAGATCTACTTTTTAATATCACCCTTACAAGGTGAGGCAAATCATCCTTCACACCCTCCCTACTCACTACCCTGGACAAAACGACCCCTGCTGCCAGGTCTGTATTTACTGGTGAGAAGCTCAGCAAAGTGGGTGAACGAAACAAAGAGGTTTCATTTCAGGCAGCCCTTTTCAGTTGGAGGTCAGCACCAAAATGAGCTGGCTACACATTGGTCTACACCTTGAATTTTGACCATATCAGCTTATATGACACGAGATGCTCAAAAGACACTCAAAATTGCTAAAATTGGATTTGCAAAGTATTTTTAAGTGATCAGATTGTCAACCACCATTATTATACACTGGAACATCTTCTGGGGCTGCAGTTTATTTCAGTACACACACACCACCACATACATCACATATTTATACTCTCCATCACACACACTACACCACTCACAGATGCACAAGCAACATACACCACACAATACAAGCTTCTCTTGTCTATCTACATAACTGTCCACCTCACATTCATCCCTAGGAATGTTTTTTCTTTCCCTTGTGAAAATAGATACTTTCCCCCTAAATTTCCCCAGATTGCTAAGTACACTTGGTTGGTAAGATGTCTAACAAAGATGCCTTCTTGATTAATCCTTCTGGGGAACTGTTAATTAACAATTAGTGTATTAGTAGTGTATACGTATATAATCACTAACCTGATTCAGGACAGAAAAGTGATTCCTTCTTCCCCTGTGAAGACTTTCCTCTCAACTTTAATACTGTATTTCTGGATTTGCTAATTTCAGCTATTTAAATCCTTCATGATATCCTTTGATCCCCCAGGTCAAAGTTGGAAATTTAATTTTTAACTTCACTTCCGTTCTTGTGTTGAATCTTCAGGGGAGGACTATGAGTCTTAAAATCATCCAATGGACTAGAAACTTCCTAGAAATCTGCCGGTATATTTCATGACCATAAAAGACAGACCCCCCGGTCTCTTTCCTTACCAGGAGATAGTACCTGCCTGGCCGTAAGTGCTTCCAGGATTTTTCTATTGAGGATGGCTGTGTGTGCACAGTACTATTCTGACAGGCATACTGTGGCTTTCTAAATGTGTTATATATGCCCTATTGGCTTTTTCCCCCTTCCTCTCTTCCTTTCTCTGTCCCTCCTCTCTCTTCTCTCAACCTCACCTCTCCTGTCCTCTTTCCCTCCTCTCGCTACTGTTCCCCTTTCACTTCCCTCCCCACTGCACTGCCCTCTCCACGTCTCTTCCAAAGGTCACCATCTGTTTAATATTTAAGCTACTCAGAAAGGGGTACATTTTACTGAGGCATGGCTTGTGAAGAGTATGAATTCCCTCGTAAGTTCTCATGGTTCAGCCTCCTATCTATAACAATACCTGGGAACATTTTGCCTTAGAACTCTTTGAAGGCAAACTACTGATCAGATAGAGCTATCTAATCTCAACTCAACAGATTTGCACTGTAGTTTCTTACATACTTAAGCATTTAAAAAATGTATTATGCTTTTAAAGTGCCTAATAAGTGTTTGGCACATGGAATATGCTGTGTAAACTGAACCAGTTATATTCTCTCTAAAGAATGTTGAAAACCTTTAACCAGTTTGTCCAAGAGACTTTGATGTCTTGTCTCATTTAGCTGGATTTTTTTCTTGTTCTGAAGTTCAGGTTCTGATTTTCATCTGGCTATTTCAGGATGTTTGTACTTCTTTTCCTGTTTGGTACTAAGGCTGGCAATTTCTGACATTTTCTGGGAAAGGAGCTCTTTTATTGATTGAAAGCCCCAGGTCAGCTGTTGTTTAACGTCCATGTTTTAAGTAAACAACGTTCCCATCTGGTGTCAATATCCCCAGTTCTGGATACTGATTACCCAGGAAGGAACCATCATTCTGTTTGCTGACCCCAAAGCTACACACTGCTCTGTGATTCTCTTTGAAGTTACTTCTGAATTCTAAATCTAGATTCTGCATTTTCCTTATGAAGTTTAAAAATTTAACATTTTACTACAGAAATTTTAAACATCTAAAAAAAAGGTAGACCAGTCTAATATAACCATGTACCCATTAATCAGTTTCCACAATCTTCAATATTTGGCCATTTGAGTTTCCATATACCTAACAGTGGTTTTCTGTATTATGTCATGTCATTTCTCCTATAAAAAGCACAGCATGGCTATATAATTCATTGGGACAAACATAACTAACATGCCATCAGCACATATAATAAATAACTGCTTAATATCATCTAATCAATCATTAAATAATTTTCCTAATTGCTTCAGTTATTCATTTTTACATAATTTGTTTAAATGAGGATCCAAAGTCCACATATGGCACTTAATTGTTATTGCTCTCATGTCTTTAATTTCATAACAATTCTTTCCCCCATTTTCTATTTGCTGCTATTTTAAACAATAACAATAATAATACAACAAAAGAGTCATTTGCAGAATGACTCTAATTGATTTGACTAATTGCTTACTGTGTCATCTGATATATTTCTTTAAACCTTTACATCCTGGTGTATATATACCAGGTATACAGAGAGGCTTGGTTAGATTCAGGACAAGAATACTTCATAGGGATGCTGGACGCTTCCACCTTGGCAGGTTGTTTCACTTTTAGTGAGGTAAAATTAAACAGTGGGTTCAGATATTCTCAGCTTGACTTATCCGTTAATAAAGTACTTAACAACCTTTCACCTCTGGCTTTTAGCAGTTGTTAATAAATGTTACCTAGACCTGTTATTTCATTAGGAAGTTACAAAACGGTGATTTTGCAATTGTACCAAGCCTTCTTCATTTATGAACTGGAATTTCCCACAAAATAGGAAATTTATCTAATAAAATATTTAGTTACCCTGAAATATAGATTTAATAGGAAGCCAGAATAAATACTTTACAAAATTTCAGAATGATAATTTAGTTCCTTAGCAAAATGACCACATAAAATTATGGAGTTTATTTGATGTGTTTCAATCTGTCACAGTCCTTATTCTTTTTTGACACCAAAATTGTCTCTTCTTTGGCCAGTAGAAAGCCCTTCAAGCTGGCTCCTATGACATTATGACATGACCCTGGTGGTCTTGGATAGCTTGTTTTCTAGCGCACGCACACACACACACACACACACACACACAATTTTTAGACTCTTATTTTATATTCCCAGACCTGGACTTTTTAAGGAGTGCTGGTTCCTTTAAGAAGGAAATAACATTTAGAGATCACACTGGGAACTGGGGTGCTCATTGTTTCTAGGCCTTTCAGTGAAAGAACTTGGAAAAAGTAAGAAAAAAATTATAAATTCTGATATTTCCAACTCAAGTTGAAGGTTAGAGTTATTTTTAAAAGTTCTTTCATTTTATACTCTTGCATTTTTCCTTTATGTTGAACATCGTGGTGCTTAATGAATGTAATTACTTTTCTTGCTTTATTATCATATACTCATTAACATTAAAATGACACTAATATTATTACTAAAATAAATATGTTGCCTCTTCTAGAAGCAGACCTTGAGATTAAAATTCCAGTCAAAGTGGCGTCCATCAATCACTGGTTAAGGGCTGCCTCAGGGAGGTCCTGAGTCCCTAGACACTCCTGTCTTTCAAGTAGTTTTCAGTAGCCCAAGCATAGCCCTAGAACCAAGTGATGGGTGTGCTGGCTGTTGACAATGAAAGCACAAGGGGAGTCTGCCAGCACCAAAGGACCCCAGGGGATATGGGCAGAGCACTGACAGCTTCTGCGACCCTTTATACGGCTCAATTTAATTCTCTCTTCATATTAAGTTCATAGCACTGATTCTTCAGGAAAAAAGGAAGAGATTAGTAAGACATTTACACCCCTGTTGTTGGAATCAATCCTAAGGACTTAACTGAGATTCATGATCACTCATCCATTACACGTTTCCTTTGTTGGCCAGCACTTTCGCTGCTTTGAGTTGCCTGCACGGAGGGGTGAACCAATTACTCATCTCTGGAGGTTCAATGCCATTACTTTGTCTGATGCAGATGCTGTGATTACCTTTTCATAGTTAAAATGGGCGTGAGATTTCCCTGAGCTCTAGGCATACTTGTCCCTGGCCCTATTATGTAGCAGCAACCAAATGTCTCATGAGGTCAGTTACTCCAGCCGGAATGGTCATTCTTTTCTTTCCCTCTTGGTCTACCAGCAAGAGGATTCCAACATGACAAGTCATCATTCATAGTTTTAGGCATTTTGGAACCTTTACTAAACTTCTTCCTGAAAGCATTTCTTTGTCTTGGGAACTAGTACTTATATACATACTGAAAATAAAGTTGTTCTATTAAAGATACACCATCTGGCACAACATATGCAATTAAGGCTCCCACTGCATTAAGTCTATTGTGATCCTTCATTTTCTGTTACAATCTATTTTTGCTGCGGCCACACTGATGAACTGAATGGGAATATGATAGAGACCATCCTAGGATACTATAAATCTTTTAAAATGGCATTCTCTGTCATTCCATGTGCGGCACAGTATTGCTTCTAAATTACTAATCTGCAGGAGTGGACCATCTCAGGTTTCCCATTTAGGCTTATGGGACATTACAGCATTGTCTCCCCATACTGACAAAGTCTCCCTTATCCAGCCTTACATTCTGCCCCAAAACCCTGGTCCCATGTTCTAGGCACACTCGCCTTGTCCCTGACACTTTATTGGTGACTAATCCCTTACCTCCCTTACTGGGACCAGCACTATACTGGTTAGGACATACTAAGACCTGACCTAGTTATTTGTCTAGTATCAGGTTTATTATTTGTCAGATATTAGAGGAAATGAGAATAGAACTTGACCAAGCAAGTATTTTCTTACAAGGCATCTGTATCACCTGTGCTTTCTAGACGGTCTTCAGGCAAAGGGAGGCTGCTATCTGCCAGCACCCGGTATGGCCACTCCTGCAGGGTAAGATTCAGGTTTACCCCAAATGTGACTATAGCATAAGAGACTTGCCGTGCCTTCAAATCCAGTCTTCTTCGTGCTTCTGCTAGTCTGCCAATCAAATCCTGAGTCTGATCTTCAGAACAGGTCTTCCCTCTGGCTATTGGAGATCAAGGTATCTTTAAATGCTGCAGGGGAGGTTTTCTGACTTTCGTGTCGTGCTCTGATGTGGTTCTTCCACTTGAGCCCCCCAGTGGTACTGACCAACAAACAGCCAACTTCAAAGATGTTATAATTGCTATTTCCCCGTATCTCCTCAACACTAGAATATTGACCAAGCCAGTGTATTCCCTTCCACCTGTGTCCCATTTTCCATCCCAGTGTTCCACAGGAGAGGGTCTCAGCAATCATAATGGCCAGGGTTTATTACCACTGCTATTACTTGTGCCATCTGGCTTGTGAGTGGTTCAACTTCAGAAGTCATCCTGAGTCTGCAACCTAGGTCCCCCTGTAGAGACAACTGTCTTAGATCAAATTCTCTAGAAGCAGATCCTGAAATGAGGATTCCTATGAAAGTGATCTGTTACAATATATTCCCAGGAAAAACTGGCAAAGATCTAGAAGGGACACTGAGTAAGGTCCAGATCAGATCAATTCTTAGAGAGTTTGACAGACACTATAGGTTTTGCCTCAGAGATGCCTGAAGTAGGAACAAGGGAGCTGGAGTATTTATATCTCTGAGGCGTAAATTATTGGCCTCCTGTTCCCAGGAGGACAGATTCCCAGGCACATTCATGCTGGCGGGCAACAGAGGCTCCTATAACCCTAGAGCAGCTGGTCAATAAGGAAAATAGATGCCAGGTGTTGGGAATGAACGCTCACCACACTGGTATGCAGTTCTGGTAGAGAACTAAGGTATGTACTGCAATTACTGACTAATTGAAGATTTTTTATTTTTGATGGGAAAGAATCTCAACATTTTTTTTACCACACATATAGCTAAGGGAGGGATTGTCTTAGAATGAACCTAAGCTGTTTTTATTGAAAATATTCAGTAAAATCTGTATATGCCTGGTTTATGGAGGAATCCAATGGAGTTAGTTCTCGCCAGGAACCTCTTCGTAAGTGACTAAAGACACCCAAAAAATGAGGAAAATCTGCAAAAAAAAAAAATTTACTCAAGGGGATGATGGGAGGTGGGCACACAATTTCAGTATTGCTGACTCAGTAACAATGGCAGAGTAAATGAAGAAGAGAAGTAATAATTGGGAGAGTGAAAGTATGGTTCAGCCCCTAGGACTTCATGAGGGGAGTAGAGCCTGCAGGTAAAAACTAAGGG